AGTTTCGACAAGGTTTTGCCCTCATCAGGGAACATGATGAAAAAACCTTGTCGAAACTTTGTACATTTGCTGTTATGTTAAACTTATATTAAAGTTTTTTTCTTCATTACCCATTCAAGCCGTCTCCAACCATTATTAGTCTCAAAGTGGGTTCCTCGTCATCCAATAACGTATGTTGTGTAATGTTGATGCTTTCGAGAAAGATCTTGTCAAAAGTAATGGCATTTAATACACAGAATTGTAGTTCAATGACACGTACCAATAATATGCTTGAACTGAGGTAGAATTTGTAAATCTCGTGCTGTTCAATATTTCATCAAGAATCGAAAACTTGGGACGCACAAATTGATTAAAGAGTTTGTTTTAGGGCAGAGCCACATTTAGCTATCTGCCGTTTCCACGGCGGGAATCGAACTCCAGATTTTTGTGTTTTAAGTCCGCAAACTTACCATTGACCCACCGGGGGACTGATTAAAGAGAATGCCTGGAAAGTGGGTTCGAACCCCACTCGATTTTAATGTACGCCAAACCCAACACATTCACAATAACCGAAAATATGGAGATCATTCTTTTTATTGAATTACTTGATGTACTCCATAAGTGACTTTTGAATGACCATTTAGAAATATTCGTTTTCGTCCCCCCAAAGAAAGGTTTGTAACCGGAGAATAACAACAAAATTTTAGAATTTTATCTGGTTATTAGTTACATAATATTGTTAATATAATGATATGGCGCTGTGTTGAATAATTTTGACATGGTTATGTCTGCTCTACTGTTTTTAATATTTGACTCTTTTGTGTGTGCTCCGCTGTTCCAGTATTTGACTCTTTTTGTGAACTGTTCCATTGCTTTAATATTTCGAGTCGTTTGTGACTATTCCACTGTTTCAATATATTGACTCTTCTAATATTTTAATATATTGACTCATTTGGCTAAGGAAATTGGAGAGGCTAACTTCTGTTAGTTTCCAGTACTGCAAACTTCTGAATTAATTAATATTTTTTTATGTGAATTTTAGAAAAACAACACACTACTGCTACACAATGAAGTGAAGCCAAAAGAAGTGGTTTATTTTTGCTTTTAGAAAAACCTTTCGTATTGGCATAAAAATGTCAGTGTTACATTAGACACTGCAAGATAAAAAATATATCTTAGAACACATAGGTGTACATAAGTTTTAATTGACATGTTACTTGAAACATAACCATCAAACTTTCATTAATGAAAAAATTATCAAATCAACTGAGTTGATATTAATCAAACAGCAAAAATCAAGGTAGGTTTTCTCTGATTACAGGTGTGATATGAAGGCATTCATACGTTTTCTACCTGTTTTAGTTATATAGTCATTTTTGAATTGTTTTACTTATTTAGTTTGTATATAGTTTTAGTATAAACACGTGGTCCAGAAAGTCGTTGAGGTTGCCTTGTTCTAGTTGTTTTGCTTCATTGTTCTCTGTATCAGATAATGTCTATACTGCGCGAGAGGGCATTGCAGTAGTAACGTATAGCATCTTCTTTGAAAGGATTGGGACTGTAATATCCTTTCTGGCCGAGTTGATGTTGTCTAAATAAAACAACCGATCAATCTGTGATAGAACAATGGTCACGAAGTGACGCTGTCGACTGGACAAAGAACCCGAGTTTCCCTGTTGAATTCAGGCGCTCTTTCTCAGTTTAGTTCTACTCGTAGATCGTCCAGAAAGACGACGTTTCAGACCATCGTGTTTAGTTTTACAGAGATAAAAACAGAGAGAGAGAAAGCACAACCTAGTAGAAGCGACTGTCTTATTAAGTGCGTACAATGTGCTTTCTTTTTTCTGTTTTATAATAAATATTGTATTCATTTTTACCAAATTTGTGCAGTATCGTTATTTAAAAGACACTCGAAAAACTTGGGTTGTTTTTACTATGTCATATGCTAAAAAACACATTTAAAATGGAAACAAAATCACATAACTGAAACGAGAAATATCAAAGCGTCTTCTAAACTGACTCTAAAGTACAGGAAATTCAACACTTGGGATTTTTTTTACTGTGGCAGATGCTAAATTAAAATACATTTAAGATGGAAACAAAATCACATAATTGAAACGAGAAATATCAAAGCGTCTTCTAAACTGACTCTAAAGTACAGGAAATTCAACACTTGGGATTTTTTTTTTTTACTGTGGCAGATGCTAAATTAAAACACATTTAAGATGGAAACAAAATCACATAATTGAAATGAGAAATATTGAAACGCATTCTAAACTACTCCCAATTACAATAATTTGAAGAATTTAACTCATCTGTGGAAACAACAAATATTTTTATGCTTATATAACCACAGTAGATTTTTTCCCGCTTAATATTATGAGTTATTGTTTTTCTGAGACGATCGAAAGATTTACAAAACGTTTTTTTTAATACATCTATTTTTTTTTCAAAATCATAGTGAATGAAAGGAAAACAGATCGTTTTTTGTCATTTTTTATAAACCAAAAGGTGTTACTTACGAGTTACATTTTCACAACGTCATTTGTAAAGATCGAAATTATATCTAAAGTTGAAACGTTTCTGTACCATCTCCAGTTTTCAACTTGGTCTTTCGAATGACGTCAGGATCCACTGTCTTCCTATCATACGCCTGTCCCAGCACGGCCATAGAATCGATAAACACGGTAGATATATTCAGTTTCCAACCGTATTCACTTGTAGAGTAGTCGTAAGGAAACGTGTGGTGATAGTTGTGAAAACCTTCTCCCAGAGCCCACCACGCCACGTGCTTGTTTTCCCGCGCTTCCATGAAGCGGTTGTAAGGTTGATTTCCCCAGCAGTGTGCAGCGCTGTTTACTAGCCACGTGAAGTGCAGAGTTACGACATAGCGTAGAATACCGTTAGTGAGGAAAGCTACCCACACTCTCTCCCCCCAGTACCACACTGGTATCATAGTTGGAAGATAGAAGCTGAGGAGAATGACCAGTGGGATATAGAACCTGTTGGAAATATATATATATATCACTAAATGATTCGTGCTCTATTATCAGGTTAATGTACGTTGAAAGAAAATTAATGAATCTTTAACCCTGAAAGTAGCAACTGAATCTATTAAGTTTAGGGAAGTAGGAAGGAAATAATTACCAACATAAATCATGTGGTAAAATCATTGAAAACTGTGCTTATATTGTTTCTATTTTCTTTGTGTTGTTTTATTGTATTGAATAAGTACCGAATCCATTGGACCCCGATGGTAAAAAAAATATACAAAATCTTACCCAATAGTTCTTAGGGTTAATCACATTTCACGCGATAAATAGTTCGCTGTGAATGACTAACATATTGTAGATATAGCTCAAGTTAGCCTTGACCCTTAAAACTGGGCCAATTTACATGCCGAGGAAACTCTGTTAAGCACTTCTTATGGTCCACCAATTTATTAGCATGATAACTTCACCATTAAAGCCAACATCAGCATGAAAGTTAGCACACTTATTGATATTACACTCTTCCATGCATTAGCATAACTTCACCATTAAAGCCAACATCAGCATGAAAGTTAACACACTTATTGATATTACACTCTTCCATAGCATTAGCATAACTTCACCATTAAAGCCAATATCAGCATGAAAGTTAACACACTTATTGATATTACACTCTTCCATAACATTAGCATAACTTCACCATTAAAGCCAATATCAGCATGAAAGTTAACACACTTATTGATATTACACTCTTCCATAGCTTGCTTTTTTAATTCAAAAATCTTTACCAACTATCTTGTTATGAGTCTAATTGCCACTAACGAAGGCATTCATTAAAATTAATTGCCCATAGCTCGTTAACGTTGCTGAAAATTGGCATTTTTTTTTTATTCAAGCTATGAGGGATGTTCACAAAGAGCACGTGTATCGGTTTTCACGTTTTTATCATTCCTAAGTAAAGCTATGGTGTTAAAACAGTTCAGGTTATGTATTTCTCTATCCTTGCCATATTAATTATTTGCTTTGTGCCCAACTTAAAGGTTAGAAGAAATGTTTCCTCAGCATGTAAATTTGCCCAATTTTAAGGGTCAGTGCTACCTTAAAATATTGAGTAAAAGAAAATCATAATAAAGTTATAATAAAGATACACTTGATAAGAACTTACGCAATTTTTCCACAATATTTAGAAATGTTAAAAATTGTACGTCATCATGTAGCTTTGCGTATAAGTCCTCAGAAAAAATCTGTTAAGCCTAACAAACAGCAAGATCAGAGATCCCCCTAGAGTTCAGACATAGACGTCCTTAGTTTTCAATAGATAGCGAGATGAAAGGAGTCAGCACACCCCCCCCCCCTCCCTACAAGGGCTTTGCCCGGCTCTTGGAACAAATAAACAAGGTTTACTGTCACTCTTATAATGCATTCAGAACTGAAAACGTGTTCAGTTCGAGCCTAAAACCTGTGATTTGTTGCCCGGTACGTTCTAAGAAATAGGCCATGTCATGCTAATTTAATCAGTCAAGAAGCGCATATATAAATCACGTTGGCCTTATACGTCTGCTTAATGTATTGGAAAGTAGAAAGTTAATGTATGCAAACATTATAATTAAACGGGGAACGTGATATTAATACGTATAACAGTCGGCGAATGTATTAAAATAATATTTTTGTTTTGAAGTCGTTGTGGTTATATTATAAAAGCTTTATATTTAAATATTTTTATATGCTCATTATTAGTTTAAAACAGAAGAATTGTTTGTTTGTAGTTAAGCACAAAACTGCACGATGGGATATCTCTGCTCTGCCTACCACGGGTATCGAAACCCGGTTTATAGCGTTGTAACTCCGCAGACATACCGCTGTGCCACTGGGGGGTGGGGGCAGAAGAATTTGATAAACATTTGCTAAATTTGTTACCTTTTCTGAAACCTCACCACAGGATCTTGTAAGAGGTCGCTACAGTCGATAGTACGTCCTTTTTCTCGGACTTCGGGATGCTTCTTGTGCATGAGCCAGCCCATGTGAGCGAAGAAAAACCCTCTGTTGATGTTGTGTGGATCAGCATCGGTTTCGGAAAACTTGTGATGAACGCGATGATCCCTTGACCATTCGTAGAGGTCATTCTGGACAAAGAAAATAAAAGGGTCTTTTCATAAGTGTTGTATTGTGTGTTTGAAGTTAAGCACAAAGCTACACAATGGGCTATCTGTGCTCTGCCCACCACGGGTATCGAAACCCGGTTTCTAGCGTTGTAAGTCCGCAGACATACCGCTGCGCCACTGGGGGAGCACACAAGTGTTGTAAGTAAACACTGAATGTAGATATATGAAGCATGGCCAGGTGAATAAGGCGCTCGACTCGCAATCTGAGGGTCGTAGGTTCGAATCTCCGTCCCACCAAACATGCTCGCCCTTTCAGCCGTGGGGGAGTTATAATGTGACGGTCAATCCCACTATTCGTTGGTAAAAGAGTAGCCCAAGAGTTGGCGGTGGGTGGTGATGACTAGCTGCCTTCCGTCTAGTCTTACATTGCTAAATTAGGGACGGCTAGTGCAGATAGCCCTCGTGTAGCTTTGCGCGAAATTCAAAAGCAAACAAACAAACAGATATATGAAAATAATTTTGATTTTATCTGTAATCTAATTCATTAAGATGTTATTTTTTATCAAAGGTGTGAAAATCCTCACAAAAATGCGATGTTTTAATTCAGACAAATACGCGTTTTCTTTATGGTGATCAAGTAATTGGATATTTTCCCCTATTTGTTTAAAACAGTAGCAGATTTTTCTGGGCGAAACTAATCCCAGCTAAGGTTTTAATTTTTAAAGGAATAATATTTTAATTTCCGCTCGATTAACATCCAGCAATATTACCAAAATATTTCAGGTTTCACTAGACCCTCATTTAAAAGATACATGTATATCTATAATAATGTAAACCCTTTCGAAACAAAAACAAGGACAGTCAACTGGAACGTCCCCTCTCGGCATTATTGGAAGTGCAGCTTAGCGATGACTTAAAGTTCGTATTACATTTGTTATTTCAAGCCTTTTTGGTAAATAAACTAGCTTATCACACACACGAATATGTCGGTAAGAGAGAACACCTCGTCACCTACTGCATTAATAAATCTTCTAAACCTGTGTTCGTCATCTTTTTTAGTTGTTAATGCCTAATATGTATTTTGATACAAAACTGATCGGAAGATTTCTCGACTACGACTACTTGTTGTACCTGAAATACACTACAGGTAAACTATGTTGTGGGTTTTAGTGTTTGTTGTTCCTACAATCGCTTTTGGTAAACTGGTAAACTATGTTGTGGGTTTTAGTGTTTGTTGTTCCTACAATCGCTTTTGGTAAACTGGTAAACTATGTTGTGGGTTTTA